AACAGCTTTCTACCATCACTGGAGTCCATTACGGACAAACAGCACAGCTGAGCTACCACTAGCCTGATTTACAGCCACATCCATTTCATGATGCCAACAGAGACAGGGACCCCGGTTCTGAGTTTCCCCCCACCCAGGGCTCAGCCTGAGACCATTCATGCAGCCAGGGCCCGCACCTCGACGCCGTCCTTCAAGCGGATCATCATTCTGTCCCCTGAAGAGGGATGAGGGTACACGGTGCCGACGTGGTCAAAGTGGAACTGGCCTTCGGAGCTCTGCTGCCCTTGCAGAACGTCAAATTTTGTCACCAAATCTCCATTGGCATCGAACGCCATGTGGGTCCCATCAGGGGTCTGGAAGCGCACCTTCCTGAGGGCGTGAAGGAGCTGGGGGAGGAGGCTGACATGTAGCCTGGCCAGGGCCCCGGGTGGGGATGGCAGGTGGAGCTCTACGTAAGGCCACCCGGTCCATTAGGCACATGGGGTGCAGGGCCCAGGAAAATGTTCCACCTTTAACTTCTGGTAAACTCAAAAGGAAAGTTTAATAATAAACCATATCTAACAACAAATCCGTATCTCTGTAAGGCAGTCATTAAACTTTCATTATCAGTTCTGTGGAGGCAGGAACCCAGGACCATCGGCCCTGCTGTGCTCCACCCTCAGCCTCCCGTCCTCTCCACCTCAGGGCACACTCCAGGCATGAGACATCCATAGAAAACCCACCCTGCTGAGCCCAGCCCAGTCTTTTGACCTCCCCGGCCCAGCTGTCGCTCCTCCTGCCCACTCCCCTAGGTGGGGCCAGTAGAGCCCCACTGGTAGGCTTTCCTCCATAGCGTAAGCCGCCTGTTGTCCAGGCGGGAGCTCAGGTCTGTCTTCACCCAGGGCTGGTCTCCTCAGCCACATCGCAGCATGAAGATATCACGCCTCATGCATTTCTACCGTGTCTGCCCTGCCCAACAGCCAGGCATAACCCACTGTCCATCCGTCCACAGCCCCATGTGTCCTTCGTACTTGAGCAGTAGAAGCCCCGTGATCCGAGGGGAGGTCAGGACAGTGCCCCCTTCCTCTCAGCCTCCACTGGCCTTGGTGGCCAGCAGCATGTATCCGGGAGATGCTCCTGAACTCCACCCTAAGGATGTTCATCTGCGCCTGAGGCGTGGAGAAGACGCACTGTTGTGTCCTCCCTCTGCTCCCTCTTGTGAGAAGGCAGTGGGTCAGGAACAGTGGCTGTCAACTGCTGAGGAGAAAGGTTAAAAATCGAACCTTCACAGACTTTGGAGCCACTTGCGTCGGTCCAGCAGCCTGTTTTTTAAAGATGAATGGGCCCCTGTTTGGGTTCAATAGAACTCAGGGAAGACCCCCATGTCTCAGTCTTCCTCTGAGGACAGCATCAAGGACTAATGAGGTATTGGGCTGAGCACACTGGGTGGTAGAAGCCACAGGTAAAGCCCTGGGTAAGTACAGTCAGGCAAAGGTGGAGGGAGAGGATACGGATGTGACCCACGGTGGGGATATTACCCAGCATGTGGCATATTCACAGAGTGGGTTTGACAGGACATGCCCTTGTCCATGCCACTGAGGTAGTGCTGGCCTGAGAACAATTGTGCATGCAGCCTTGGTCTCCAGAGGGGAGCTGGCCAGGAGAATAACTGAACACAGGCAGGAAAATAAGAAGGCCTGGGCAACTTAGAGACTTACCAGACCTTGTCTTGAAATAAAAGAAAAACTGTGCTGCGGAATAGGCTCATCAGTAACGTATTCCTGGGTTTGGTCCACAATACCATAAAAAGGACTTTTTAAAAATAAAAGCATATGTCACTCCATATTTGAAATCCACTTATTCTAAAACTTATTTTTACCAAATGAAACATAGGCATCGTCATTCATTGAATTTCAGATTTTGATAAATGACCCTTAAATGGATGTGGTGTTACACGCCTGTAATCCCAGCCCTGAAAGAAGCTGCGATGGGAAGATTGCAAATTCCTTTCTAGCCTGGGTAACACAGGGCGATCCTGTGGGAAAATAAATAATAAATGTGGTTGGAAATGAAATTCAGGGGCAGAGCATTTCAGGGCTGAATACCAGGTACCACAAAAGAAAAAAGGACTCTTCAGTACATACAATATTTGGAACTGTGGGGAGCACTGAAAACTTTCAATCATACACTGAACATTTGGGTCACTTATAATAAATGCTATTTGCTGTTCTGTATTTTTCAAATTTGCATCATGCTTATACTAAACACTGCTCACTGATTACCCAAACTCAAATTTGAGAAGACAATAAAAAACTATTTATTGTAGATCTGAAATCTAAATTTCACCAGGCATCCTGTATTTACTAGGCTGCGCCCCCCACGGGTGGGACCCATCTGGGGTCACACAACTAGCATGGCCCCAGGACTCCTGGTCCAGGGCTCCACTCGGTTGCCTCTGGGCTCCAGGCACAGGCATCCTTGTAGATGGGCATCTGCACTGTGGACCTCAGCAACTGCACAGGAAACGTCCACTCTCCTTCCCAGCAACCCCACTCACCTGCCAGGGATGGAAGTGCCGGGGGTCTGCACACACCCCACCCCCATGCTCACAGGACACCAGATCCTGCAGGGCGTGGGCGACACTGTACACAGCCGTGTATGCGATGTCCACTTCACTCACATCCTGGAAAGGATGCTCATGGCCGCTCAGACTCTCGCTACCTGAGCACAGCTGCACAGCTCCAGACACTGTATCGTTCCCATGCGGCCACCTGCACCCTAGGGTGGCCTCCCAGAACCTCCCCAGGAACATGTCCTCTGGGGTCCGACTTGGGTGAAGGTTGGCGAAGAACTCAGGGAACCCATGTACGCGGTTTCTGTGGCACAGAAGGCCAAACGCACCCCGCAGGACCCGAGAGATGCCCGGCATGGCCAGGGCAAGTGCCGTGTGTAGGAGGCCCTCGCTGACCCAGACCTGGCCCAGGACACGGACACCCAGCAGGCTCTGCAGGATGAGCTTGAAGTTAGAGTTGTTCAGGAAGACCAGGACTCCTGTGGCAGTGCTGATCTGCATCTTCTGCACCACAGTGCTGATCTTCTCAGGGGAGTGCTGGGAAGGCACTGAGAGGTGGAATTCGATGCAGATGTCTGCCTTTCCGAGTTCCCCAGCAGCCAGAGCACCAGCCTGCTGCCCAAAGTCATCGTCCTGAGCCAGGATGACAATCCAGGACCATCCCAAGTGCAGCACCAGCTGGGTCACAGCATAGGAAGACACGAGGTCACTGGCTCGAGTGCGCAGGAAGGAGGGGAACTGGGTTTTGTCACTGAGGCTGGGCAGCGTGGATGCATAACTGACCTATGGGGAAGAGCAGGGCATGGGAGGGAGGACCAGGACTCAGACACAGGCTTGTCACTGGTCTAAACTCAGGATGCAGATACAATGAGGACAGGGGGAGGGGGTCAGCTCGCCAGGAGGCGGGGCACACCTCCTCTCAGACTTGTCCTTCTAAGAAGTATGTCCCATGCTCTTCTTCACTCCTGGGCAGCAAAGAAGCTGTTCACCCAGGCCGGATCAGAGCTGGGACACAATTGCTCCTTTGAGAAACATGAAGGTAAGACACAGACGAGCAGTTTGAATCACAACCAAAACCCAACATTATGTTGCTTGAAAAGACACACCTCATTCACAGAGATACACATAGACTAGAGGTGAAAGGATGGAAAATCATACTTCCTGCAGCCAGACCCCCAAAGCAAACAGGGGTAATTACTCCACTCCTCAAAAGAAACCTGATCACAATGGACAAAAGGTCATTAAATATTCCTAAAGGGAATAATTAGAGCAAGAAATAAAAATCGTAAATATATATGCAATGAAGGGTTACCCCCTCAATTTAATAAAGCAAAAACTACTTCTCATAAAGCAGATAGATGCCATTACAATCATAATGAGGGACTTCAATACCCCTACTCACAAATAGACAAGTAAAACAGACAAAAAAAAAAAACCCCAGAAATATCAGAGTTGAACCACATCTTTGAGCAAATTAACTGAACAGATATCAGTAGAATGATTCACCCAACAACTGCAGAGCACACATTCTTCACAACAGCCAACCGAAAATTCAGAACCAAATGACAATGTAGATACAATGTATCAGAATGTCTGGGAGACAACAAAATCAGTTCTAAGAGAAGTTTTGAGCTGAGGTGCCTATTTCAGAAAAAGTGATCCAAAGTAAATTAAATAATGATATATCTCAGGGTTCTATTGAAACAAGAACAATCCAAATTCAAAATTATGGAAAGAAATTGTAGAAGATCAGAGTGGAAATCAGTGGAATTGAAACTAAAAACAATACAAGTGATAGCAGGGCATAGTCATAAATATCTTTAATCCCAGCACTTTCAAGGCTGAGACAGGAGAGTGCAATGGAATTCAAAGCCAGCCCGGGCATCATAGTGAGTTTGAGGCCAGCCTGAACTACACAGAAAGACCTTGTCTCAAAACAATGACAACAAAAATACGAGTGTTTAATGAATAAAAATTTGGTTCTTTCGAAGAATAAATAGGATCAATAAGCCTTTCACCAAACTTAACCAAAAGAAGCAAAGGCTATGTCAATGCAATTTAGAAATAAAAAGTTAGAATCACAACAGATACCACTGAAGTCTAGAATATATAAAATGATTTTGAAAAATTATATTCTGATACACTGGAGAATCTGGAAGAAAGGGACAGATTTCTAGACACGTGATTTACCAGACTGAACCAGTAAGATGGAAAAATCCTGAACACACCAATAAGGGCAACAAAATTTATGTAGTGCCCAAAATTCCACAACTAAGAAGTGCCCAGGACCAAATGGATCCACCCCTGACTACTAGAACGTCAAAGAAGAACTAATACCAACACTCTTCAAACTCTCACACAAAATTGAAGGGGAAATGATAGGGCAAGAGAAACTCCATTTTTCGGTTTTAACTTCATAGTAAGAGAGGTCACTTAGAGTTCACTTAAGCTGTAGTTGACACCCCCACACCCACCTACCCTTATCTACTTGAGTAACAGCAGAGCAAAGCCATAAATTGGGAACAGAACAAACAAAGCAAATTGGGAGGTAGGTTAAAAGTGAACCCACTGAGGTCATTGGAATTTGGTTGTCTGACCTCCTGGGAGGAAGGTAAACTTTGTGCTAATTATGTGACATTCTTGTGAGAGTCCTGAAAATGAAGTAATGGTTACTATGGAAACCTGACATGTACTAAAACAAAGATGAGACCCTGGGCTGCAGGGACATCTCTAACTTTGGGTTAGGGAACGATCCGTCAGCTGGCTCTAATAAAGCTTTGTTCCTTCCTGGTCTTTTTGGTTTTTCTTGTGAGTGCCTTTCTTGGTGAACTGGCCTGTCACAACAGAAAGAACACTGCTAGACTCATTCCTGCCAACATTACACTGAGACAGCAAACAAAAACTCCAGAACACACACAACACAGAAAACTATGGTCCTTGACAAACACAGATGCAAAAATCCTCACAGAAAGATCACAAGTCAAGCCTGATGTTGTGGTGCACACCTGTAGGCCCAGCACTCTGCCAGCTGAGGCAGGATGATCACCATGATATTTGAAGGCCAGCCTAGGCTACATAGTGAGTTCAAGGCCAACCTGAACTGCATAGCGAAATCCTATTTCAAAAAGAAAATCATTTATCTTCAAAATAAAAAAAAATCCCCCCCAAAACCCAATATGTTTTTGTTCTTTTATCTTTAAAATAAAAAAAAAAAGAAAATCATACATCATGACCAAGTCAGCTTCATCTCAGTTATCCAAGGGTGGTTCATCATCTGTAAATCAAGAAATATAATATACTACATAAATATAATTAAGGATAAAAATCACTTGGTCATCTCAACTGATGCAGAAAAAAAGACCCAACATTCATTCATGATGAAAACTCTGAAGAATATCCGTATAAGACATCACCTCAAACTGAGGGAAGTTATCTGTGACAAGCTGACAACTAACCTCATAGTAACTGGGGAAAAGCTGACTACATCCCCGTAAAATCAGAAACACCACAAGTGTTTCCACACTCACCAGTCCTACACAATAGAGTAACCAAATTTTAGCCAGAGAAACTGGAAGGAAAACAGAGAAATAAAAGAGGTACCTACAGGAAAGAAAGTAGTCATGCTATCTTTATTTAAAGATGACACGACCCTCCATACAAAAGACTCACAGATGCCAGAAGAAAACCCTAGAGCTGATAAGGCAGCCTGTCCAGGTGGCAGGATACAAAATAGATTAAAATTTAATACAAAATTAAAAATTAACAAAAATTAACAGCATTTCTATACACTAAAAATGAACCCTCAGTGAAAGAAATCAAGAAAGTGATTGCACCCATAGTAACTACAAAAAAAGTTAAATAATGTACCTGGAATAAGAGTGACCAAGGAAGTGGAAGACCTCTATAATGAAAACTATAGTACTCTGAAGAAATAAATGGAAGAGGACATTAGAAAATGGAAAGACATCCCCTATTCTTAGGCAGAATCAATATTGTCAAAATGGTCATATTGCCAAAAATAATACATCCTTCTCATGCAATTCCTATCAAAATACAAACAACATTCTTCATAGAACTAGAAAACACAGTCCTAATGCACCTTGAGAACACAATGTTAATTGAAGTAAATTAGACACACAAGCTAAAATAGCACACAGTTTCTCTTACATGAGAACGCCAATATAAAAATAAAGTACAAAACAAAGAACAGACAGCAGTAAATAACAAAATGGATCTTTGTCATCTGGGAAGGAAACTTAAAGACAGAGGGAGGGATAAGGGAGGGGAGACAAAGAGATTAATAAAAAAGGGGGGATTACGAAGTGCCGTGTACATGCACCAAGTCCCCATGAAAAATGTGATCGTCGTCTACTACAAACATGTATTTACAAGAAGGAAAAAATATATGCATAAAGAGGTCCAAGAGCTACAGTTAGGGAGAGAGAGGGGAGGGGAGGGCTTAAGAAAGGAATTGAAAAAGTCACGTACATGTATCAACTCTCCATGATAAATGTAATCATAATGTACTATGAACATGTATCAATAGAAAAATTTTGTATAGAATCAAAGGACTGAGAATTCCAAAGCAATCCTTAGCAGAAAGAAAAGCATGAGGAATTATAATCCTGGATTTTAAGTTATACAATGAAGCTATAGGAAGAAAAACAGCATAAAAATAGACATGTAGACCAATAGAATAGGGAAGACAAAAACCCCAGGTTTATTGAACCACCTGACCTTTGATAAAGGAACTGAAAAGATTCACAGGAAAAAGACAGCTTATTCAACAAACAGTGCTAAGAGAACTGGTGAGAAACACAAAGAATGGAACCAGGCTCATATCTCTCACTTTGTACTAAAATCAAATCACCACGGATCAAAGACCTAGAAATAAAAACAGAAACACTGAAACTACTGAAAGATAAAGTAGGAAAACATTTGAAGCTGTAGATACAGGCAAACATTTCCCGAACAGAACTCCAGTAGTGCAAGAAATATTACCAGGAATCATCACAGCCCTTTGGTTGTAGCCCTGCACTACAACCACACAGCCTCTCAGAAACACCAGGCAACCAGTTCTGTCACTGTCAGGTTCCACTGCACAGTTACCTTCCTCACAGGAGGCGGCAAGGACAGAGGGACTCACTCAGTTTCGTAGGCTTCACAGGTAAAAACCAGGTGGGCTTCAATGGGATCCTTGCACACTGCTGATGCGAATGTCACGTCATACAGGGGCCAAGGAATACACTACACTAATTCAAAAGAGTAACACTGGGCCCAGTGATTCTACCCCACACTCAAGACGATGTGAACATGCAGAGAAACAGCATCACAGGAGCCGAAGGACAAGCGCTTCAAACACCCATGACCTGCCGAGTGGGTGAACAAGATAAGGTCTGTGCACAGAGGGAATACAAATTGTCACTAAAAAGGAGTGAAGCTCTGACACTGGCCACAGTGTGGATGACCTGTGACACTGCCCAGGGAAGATGCCAGTCCCAGACCACACACTGTCTAATCCCACCCAGGGAAACGTCCACAAAGGCAGGTCCACAGAGATGGAATGCAGATGGGTGGCTTTGGGGTGGGTGGTGCTACTGGCTGGCTGCTGGGTTTGGAGATGTTTTGCAGGGTGAGGAAAACGTTCACATTGATGGTGGCCATGGTTGCCACGCTGATAGTGCTAAAAGCCATCAAGGTGCTCACCTTGAACAGGTGGATTCATGCTACACATTACATCTCCATTCCTCTCTTAAAAATAAGAGCTCATATTGGCAGTGGGATACGTGGCAGCCTCATATGGCCGCTGTCTTGGGAACGACACGGAGGGTCTGCAATTCAGCGACACCCATGGGGTACAGGTGAAGCTGGTCGCCTTACCCAGTTTCCTGGATTTGAGCCTCAGCTGAAGCTCCTCCTGGCTGGGTGAGTTGGGACCATCACTGAGTTTGATACAAAGCTGCCTGCTCACCCGTGTGGTGGGACCAGCGTTCTCCCACAGTGAGATTCCGTGGAGGAGAGCAGAGTCAGGTGTGGAATGTGACAGCAGGGACCTCCCCACAGCACGGCGGCTCAGTGCCACCACCCCCTCGGCCTCAGCGCCATCCTCCCTGCTTCTGAAGGGACAGCGCTGGGGAGGACTCACCTGGGGAAACTTGTAGAGCCCCAGGAGCCTGGCCATGGCCACAGACAGGGCCGAGCGCGTGTCCCCCACCAGGGCGGCCCGGGGTGGACCGAGGTGGCACGCATAGTTGGGGACGGGGTCCTCCTGCCCCGTGAGGAAGGCCATGGTCTCGTGCAGGGCCCCGTGCACAGAGTCCCCGGAGTTGCGAATGGAGAAGCCGAGTGTCAGGTTGGGCAGCAGGTGGGTGCTCCTGTTGATCTCCTCCACAGCAAAGACGAAGCTCTGGGCCACCCGGTAGCCCCAGCTGGACACGCTGAGGAGAGAAGCCCAAGGTCACAGCGGGCAGAGGGAAGACGGGGCAGGCAGGCAGTGAATGATGGCTGTGTGGATGGAACATGCAAGACGGAGACAACACACTTCCTCACAGAACCTGTGCACACAGATGAGCGTGGCAGCATCACTCAGAAGAGACACAGGGGTGGGAGACAGGATGGATAATGCCAGAAACAGGCACAGAGTGTCAGGAGGTCAGCAAGGAAGAGTCAGGGTCTAGAGCACAGCATCGGTGATTATATTGCATGAGAACTGATGCATATTTCCACTGGTGCATGCGTGCGATCCCAGCACTCCACACAGCTGAGGCAAGAGGGTTGCAAGTTGCAATTCACTGTGACAACTTGGTGGCTTTGAGACCACCTGTGTCAGAATTTAAAGATGGAAGGGGGTTTCTGATTGTTGCTCAGAGTGAATCACTGGAGTCAATCTCCAGGTGGAACACACATTACAATACCGGTGATGGTCACAGTGGAACAACACAATCTCATTGGTTCTGCTGGGAATGCAAAGTGCTGCAGTGGTCATTTTGCCCACTTTTTAGCAATATTAAACACATATATTGTTCACAAAAGAACAGCCATTTGGACCCAGAAGACTGAAATTGGCAAAGGGAAAACAGGCAGAGAGAAGCTCTGACTACAGCTCGGGAAGAGGTGTATTAACCCACATTTACTCAGTAATGAAACTCCTACCTCTCACCTGGCCTCGTTTTCAGCACCAGAGATGGAGAGAGACAAGAGTGAGCGCCCAAGCTTGGACCCATTAGCTCAGACAGGTACCGGGGCCAGGCCAGAGAGCGATGCGACATCAGAGGTGATAGAGGACCAGGCAGAGCCCTGGTGCTGGCACTGGCCCACCAAAGCTTTGGGCAACCGGGGCCCCACTCACCCTGAGGAAGGCAGCCCTGCTGGCAGTGTCCTGAAGTCCAGCTGGACAACATTATGGAACTGCAGAATGGAGAAGCTGCCGCCCAGCACCGCATCTCCTGGGCGCTCAAATCTGGGGCTGCTGCCTGGCAGCCGCCAGCCCATGGGCACAGGAGCCACCGAGAGAGCACATGCCAGCATGGCTAGTGGGACAGAGAGCCTCATGCTTGCAAGGCTGCATGCGGAGCAATCTCCTGCTGTGACTGGGCAACCTCAGGTGTGCAGGAAGGGGGCTGGGTGTCTTATAGAGACATCCTTCACCTGGGTCACTAAGGCCCAGGGCCATTAGAATTCCCCTTTCCTCCCTGGCTCCCTCTCCTGATGAAAGCCTGAAGCTCTGGGCACCTTCTGCAGACCTCAGGGAGTGAGGTGGCCCAGCTGAATGGAGGACCCACAGGCCCAAATCTATGCTGGTTCCTGAGGGTGGCAGCACAGTGAGTCTGGAGACTGGGTGTCCCTAGAGCTTCAGTTGGCTGGTGGCCCCCAGGGAGGTCCCAAAAAGAACAGAGTGGGGATACAGGGCTCTGCGTCAGGGATGCCTGGTGTCAGGAGGGGTTGGGCTGTGAGGACCTGGGACAGAGCTGGAAAGTCAGAATCCCAGCTCAGGAGCTGCAGCCATGGATCTGTAAAGGAAGGAAGCTACCTAATGTCATCGCCACCTCAGGTGTGAGTGGACACATGGTCCTGCCCAGGTCACACCAGTACGTGCAAGGTCAACTGTGCACCAGAGCACTGAACTGTAAACCCCGAGTATCTTGAGAATTTAGCAGGATCTGCCTCCTGGGAGCACAGTGGAGATCCAACTAACATCTCTATCTCAGAACAAACACCTTCGGACATCACCCAGCACTGGGCAAGGGGGAGAACCAGACCCAAATAAGTCCAGTGCCCCAGAGAACCCAGACTCCTGGCTTCTGCTGAGTCAGAAGCCCTAGCCCCTGGGCTGAACCCACACAGACAAGGGTAGGTAATATGACAGCTGCCTCTCTGCAATGTTCAGGTCTCAGGACCAGGCCTGCACAACCATCATGACCTCACACCAGACACTGTCATCACCCGCCAAAGGAACCCCATTTCCTGCCCTTCTGGCCCTGACCAACACAGCAGTTCTGCCTTGACCTCATCTGTTTTTGAAACTGAATTTTCAGTTAGATTTCACTGGGAAGAAGGTTGCTGGTATTTACGAAATGTTTGGAAACCTTTGCTTGTCTCCAAGGCGGCTCCCATGTGGCTTTAGGTGCCAGGTGTCCTAAAAGGTCAGAGCTGTCCCTCCTGACTTCAGCACAGACTAAGTCAGGTGTTCTCAAGGGCCCCTTCCCAAGGGGGTCACAGAGCTATAAGTGCACAATGAGCCACCTCTGCCCCGAGGGCCAGGCCAATTCCAACTCCTGAGAACAGGACACGGGACTGTCCACAGAAGGGCCTGACTCACAAGAATAATAGCCCTGAGCAGCACTTGGGTCCCGGGGATTTCTGTGCACAGCCAGTGCTGACACAAAGCCCTCCCGGACCAGCAGCCCACAGGTGACAGAGACACAGCCAGGTCCCCGGTGCAGGTGGCCTCCTCTCCTCGTGGGACTCTATTTCCAGGCTTTGTTGGTTTCTTCCAAGTGCTGCCACTCCACGGTGGTTCCTGAAGGTCTTGACTGCTGACCTGCTCTCCCTGTGACCAGGACGTCCGGACAGACACACGGCACTCAGCGCACAGATGTCCAGGATGTGCTGGGCTCTGTCATGGGCAACTGAGCCCCCTCCTTCCAGTCTGCAGCCCCAGGCTTCCTCTTGCCCACAGCAGCCCCGCCCAGATTTGTCTGAGGCTGTGCCATCTCACACCCCATCTGAAGTCGAGTTTTTAAATACTTTAAATACATGTCCCATGTATACTTTTACAATACATTAAAACCATGATAAAACATTAGTCACTTAAAAAACGTTTGGTGTTAGAATTAAGCATAACTCTGGTCCAAATAGATCTTGGGACATAACGAAACTAAGATGTACTATTCTTACATCTGGTAAGCTAAGCAACTTCGTTGAAGATAACAGTATGTAATATAACAACCATTGTTAATTCCTATTGTTTTGTTTTGAAATCCTGTATCATTATTATTTTTGTCTTTGTTGTTATTTTGCTTTTTTATTCCCTTTAAAATAAAAAAAGTATTTAATATGGTACTTAGTACAAGCATACCTCAGATATACTACTGTGACACAGTCACACCAAAAAGTATTCATTATTTACCTGAAATTCATATTTAACTAACAATTCTCCTGTATTTTTATTTGCTAAATGCGGCAACCCAGTTCTCCATATATTTCTATTACACACACTCATTTTTTTTTTTTTTTTTTTGGTTTTTCTCCGGTACCGGGAACCGAACTCACGACCTTGTGCTTGCCAGGCAGGCGCTTTGCCGCTGAGCTAAATCCCCAGCCCCTACACACACTCATATTAAAAATTGTTTCTAGGAACTGGTCATGAAGGCACGCTCCTGAAAGCCTGGGTGTTTAGTGCACAGCTTTTGGCGCCCCTCTGGCCGCCGAAAATTCCCAGCACGCCCACTGTGGAACTCAACTGCCAACGCCACCTTGCGGCTAGGCTGCGACTTCTGCGCTGTGGGGTGACCACAACCCCCAGCACCCCGCAGGGCGAATGCAAGTCACAACTCCCAGCATCCTTCGGCAGCGACTTCCGGGTCTCCACTCTCCCGTCGCCCGCCCTCCAATCGTCCACGCGCAGGCGCGGGCCTTATTTCCCAGAAGCCCTCGGTGCTCGCCGGCGATGGCGGTTTGGGGCTTTCCGGTCTGTCCCTCCCTAGAGCGGGCGAGCGCGGACCGAGCAGCTAGCACGGTGGGCCCAGTCGGACGCCGCCCGGGTTCCCCCGCCGGCCTCCTCCCGCCCGGAGTAGTGTGGGCCTGGCTAGCGCTCCGTGGGCGACGGGTGGCGCCGCGTCGGGGGCGGGGCCGGTCCGGGAGCCGCGCGTGGGCAGCGCGTCCCTCCCGCGTGCGCGCCGGATGTGAGCACGGATGTGAGCACGGCCAGGGAAGTGTCTCAGCGTAGACCGCCCAGATTTATTACTTCCGGGGCAGGACGTGTATTTGTGAGCGCAGCCGCGCACCGCGAGAGTGGGCCGGAACCCCCGACCTCAGCGCGGCGCCCTCCTCACGCTCTCGCTGCGAGGAGCGTGGGCGCCGCGTGGGGTCGTGCGAGGCGCCGCCCCTCCCGGCCTCTCGGTGCTTCTCTCCAGGGTGTCGCTTGGAGTTTGTGAGTAGACGGGGTTTCTCGCTTTGTGCGTTCCCCGTGTGCTTTTCTGGGAGAGATTGCCCCTGTCATATTAGCTTCTGCCAAAAGATTCATTTGCGGGTCAGATTTAGCTGAAATTTTAAAATTTTTAATTCGAGAAAATATCAAACACTGTAAAGGAATGGAATCCATGTTGCAGTCCATGTAACTATTAAACTTCGTTCGAATTCAGTTAGTTTAAGAATACATACATGACCAGCCAGGCGTGGTGGCCCGCTCTTGTAATCCTAGACTGGAATGCGTTCCCGCCCAGCCTGGGATGCAGAGCCAGACCCTGCCTCAAGCAGCAGACAAAACAAAACGCATGAAGCCCAGTGAGACTTGAATCTCAGATAACAGTGCGTTTATTGTTAGTACTGCTGTTTCAGCTTTAGTATATTAAAATCTTTAACATAGTAGTTAAGTAATTTTTAATGTAACTGAACCCCAGAGTAGTGCTCCCAATTTTAGTGAGTAAAAATGTAGAAGGTGCGGTTAAACTTAAATTCCAAAGAAACAGCAAATATTGTTACTATCACTGTGTGCCATATTTACTTTATTTAAAATACTTTGAATATATTTCAGATAAATATTTTTATTTTTTAATTTGGAAAATTTTGTTTCTGTTCTTTTGAAGCAGGGTTTGGCTATAATGCTCAACGTGTTCTTGAATACACCAAGTGGTACCGGCTGGACCTGAGCTGGTGATACCCTTGTCTCAGCTTCTAGCCGGGATTAAGTGTGGCTTCACCTATTTATTCCTTTGTCCTGCAGCCCCCGTGTATCGCCCCAAGCTGCCTGGCCCCCACAAAGCTCCCTTCCCCATCCCAGAACCTCAGACAAGTCGCTGGAGTCAGGGGCCTGGTGCCAGCTGTGAAGCCCTCCTCACTCCCCCTAGCAGAGGCCAGGGCAGCTGCCTGGTCCTCCATGGCCCAGTGACTCGTAGATACTCCTATACCTTCCAGGACCCCACACTGGCCTGAGACCCCTCCCCCAACCCAGAAACCCACAGGTCTCTGCACCCACAAGCCTCTCAACCCCATCTTTCCTGACATGTACTCTATGTCAGGACCCTCCAACCTGGGGTCCACTTGGGTCCTGCTTCTGAGCATGGAGAGAAGATACTGCCTTTGACCTTCAAAGAGGAAACCACTCGGACCTGTGGAAATCACTTCAACCTGAGGTGCAGAAATCAGTCCATTTGAAAAAACATACTGGGTATGGTGGACCACATCTGTAATCCTAACATTTTTGGGCGGCTGAGGCAGGAGTATTGTAAATTTGAACCCAGCCTGGGCCACTTTAGTGAATTTATAATACCTTGTCTCAAACCTGTCATACCCTGCTGATACAGCTTTGGGTTTGATCCTCACGAACTCAAAAAAGAAAAGAAAAAACAAAGGTCCAGGAGGGCACCTTTCCACTTGTCATATCATGGCTTTCTCCCATGAAAATCCTAAAGGTTTGAGGTAGGGTGGTCCCCCATGCAAATAAAGGCCACCATTTGGAGAGTCACAGAAAGGTTGATGTGGCTTGCTGGCCACCAGGAGGCTCTGTCAGGACACTGCATCCGTGCCCTTGAACAAATAGGGACAGCTACTGTGTCCCACAGTTGAATGCTACACATGGGATGGGAGGCAGGCAAGGGATGCCACCAGGTTTTGGCACTTCTGTAGTAAATGTAGTAAATTTTTTGTCCACATTTGGGTAAATGCCAATGTGAGCTTCTAGAATGTCCTTGCTAATACAAGCTGCCACCAACCCTTCCAGGAAGGCCTGGACAGTGCACACTCGCACCAGTGGATCACCACAGAGGTCAAATGTTTACAAAACAGAACTCCCGGTTCATTTTCATGGTTTTTAATGGCTTCCTCAGTTACGGGTCATGGTATCGAGTTTGGAGAAGGTGTTTCCTTGCCCTTCCCCTTTCCTTTGCCTTCGATCTCTCCTCCAGGCCTCTGCCTCATGCCCACCTCCCTCAGCCAGGACATGGCAGAAAGTGTAAAGAGGACAGCAGAGGTGACACCCAGGGCACAGGTGGCCACTGCCACATTGTAGTGTGTGGACAGCAACCAGGTGTTTCTGCTTCAGTGAATTAAAATGTCAGAGTCCAATTCCTTATTTCAGGTGCACTGGGTGTAGTGCACCATCCATCCTCCAGGGAGGTTCTGCTGGCCAGATGGCTACTCCGTGAATGCAGCAGTCCTCCGGCTCCTCTGAGGATGTGTGCTGTGTGATGTGGAATGAGGTGGAGGTAGGTGTTGAGCTAAATCAAGGATAAGGGTTTGTTCAGAGCTGGGTGGGTGTGAAGGCAGCAAGGTGCGGATGGCATGCGTGGGAATTCATCAGATCTGGTGGGAACCACAGGAGTGCAAAGGCCCTGTTGCAGCTGCTGGTTCCTCCTTGGCTCAAGCCCCGATGGGCTATTCTGTGGGTGCTGGTGGCCAAGACAAAGAGGCAGGGAGCACCTGGGATCCTGAGCAGGGCGGGCCACCATCTGATGTGGCCTCTCCATCCCTGCCGCCTGCCAGCACCCACGTTGGCCCAGAGCTGCCGGCACTGTCCCGGGGCAGACTGCACACCTCTCCTCAGGTAGCCTCAGCCAGGTGCTGGGCAGAGCGCTTGCCGCTCCCTAAGCCCGAGCCAGCCTGGAGGGAGCAGACAGCACGCCCGCGGCCTTCGCTCCCAGCTGTTCTGGGTCCAGGGGCCGGCTCTGGGTGTGTGTGGCCAGTGGCTATGGCCCGAGTAGCCACTCACTGGCAAGGAAAGGGATGCAAACCCTGAACAGACAAGCTGCAAGCAGAGACATCCTGCTCTTGGTAGCAGCCTCAGACAGCAGCCCAACTTTGATGTCAGGGCCGGCCGTTCCTCCCAGAGTCCAACCCTTGTCCTCTAAAAGACCTGTATCGACCTCCTTGTCCGCATCTCATCTAAAGCGAAGGCCTTCTGTGAGCCAGAGCAGAGTGGCCTTGGAATCACAACTGGAAGCATAATTTAAACACAACACGGGTGCTTCTAGGAGATGTGTAAGGTGCTAAGCGATCACACAAAAACATCCTTTAGATGATGATGTTGCTGCCCAGAGGTTTTTCCATCCCCAAATCCTCATAAAACCCCAGCCCCTCACCCTGACTATGCAGTTCCCCTTGTGGAAACTCACCACTGCCTCTCTTGGCACCGTTCCCTGATCTGAAAAAACTCCGGTCTTTTCTGTGTTCCCCACCTGCTGGTCACTTCTTTCCCCAGCCCTCCGTGCGCCTCGCCCTGCCTAGTGCTCACGTGGCGCAGGTGCTGGGGTTCTGGCGCAGAGTGGCTCCTGGGTGAGCTCCCAGCACCACGCAGGCCTGCCTCGAGAGCAGGGGTGGGAGCGGCAGCTGGGGCCCCAGGAGGACCGAGCTGGTCTGACTGATGTCCCGTCTGCCCTGTGCTGCTCCCAAGCCCTGGGAACAGCAGCCTTTGGTGAGTGAACGTCTCCCTCCTGTCGTGTTCAAGAAGCTTACACAGACGTGCGCGCGCATGCGCACACACGTACACAAAGATGTTCTGAGTGAGCGTCCCATCTGCTGCTGTTTCTCAGTTGTGCCCAATAGTCCCCTGGTTCCCACACATCTGTCTGGCCTCATCCAAGCCACATACTCAAGCTGCCTCCGAGAGACTGTCAGGCCCCTGGAGCCTTTGGATCTTTGGACCTCACAGAACCCAGGGTCCAGGAACCCTCCACAGGTGGAGCTCGGGGAGCTGCAAGGGCTGGGGCGCGTCTGAGCCTCCCACTACCCCTCAAGTTGCATCCTCTGGGCAGCCCCACGGAGCAGGTGCCCTCACCTAGGGAAGTGGCAGAAGTGCGGGAGCTGGACACCGAGGATCCCGAGCAGGAACAAAAGATGGTTGTGATGTGGGTCAGGGAGACGAGAGCTTGCTGGGCAGGACGCTGCAGCAGACCGGCCGTGCTGCCGCCCAGACAACGGGGGTTGCGGGGTAGACCTGCTGCCTGCAAGCAGGAAATCTGTTGGGATCATGGCCGGCTTTTCACCAGCATGCATGTGACTGACCACAGTCAGTGGATACGTTGATCAGCCTGATTTAAACACTGTTACGTAGATGCTCATGTACATAATAGAATAAGGCTATTCCGTACATGACCTATGTGTGGAATATAATATAGGTCATGTACATAATTGTCTTATATACATGCATCTATATATCTGTATGCCACACATAGGTCCAAGTATTTATCAGTTTTTTTTCTTTTTATCAGTTTTGAAAATAACACGAAGCTGGGTGTACTGATGCACGCCTGTAATACCAGCACTCTGCAAGGCTGCAGCAGGAGGTCACAAGTGCCAGTCTGTTCTGGGCCACTTAACCGACTTGGACACAGTCTGTTTCAGAGTCTGAAGGTGGGTGGAGTTGCTGTGATTATGCCTGAGTGCAACACTCCTGGGTTCAGTCCCCAGTGTATGTGTGGGGTGAATAATACTACCACCCAGAGGCACAGCAACAGTGGAAGTCTCTTGCATTTCCCACTGCAGTGCAAAGAGCTGAGGTTATTTTGGCAAATTTTTAGCAAAACACATACGCTGTTTACAAAAGAAGACCTAAACCATTGCATTGGGACCAATAGGACAGAAACTGGCAAGAGGAAGAGCCTGGGGGCTATGAACTCAGACACACGTTGTCCTTGAGCACAAGCCCAGCCAGAGAGAGGTGCACGGAAAGAACCCTGAGCATCCGCAGTGGTGGGACAACCAGCCACGCGCTCACATTCTGGGATCCGCCCTCCATGTCTTTGAAGAACCCTAGACCCTGCTTAACCTGAGGTCCGGCAGGTAATTGAAGTGCGGGATGGAGACACTTCCCCCTGACACCACATTCCCTGCGTGCTCACAGCAGGGGCTGCTGCCTGGCAGCTGCCAGCCCACGAGCCTTCGCGGTCCCCAGAGTGAACCTGGGGGTGTATCCAGCAGCATGCAGGGCCTCATGGCTGTGCTACATTGACCAGAACAGTGTCACAGGTAGGGAAGAGGGGCAGAAAAGTACAGTGTCTCTGGGTCCTAGAATTGAGACCACTTGGTGAAGAGAAAAAAATAACTAGATCTCTGGGAATCAGGAGGGAGCTGACGTGAAACCTAGAAACTAGAAAAGCTGGAGGAATGGAGCGCAAGTCAGGGCAAAAAGTGCAATAGTCTGGAATCCTCTAGCTTTCGGGGAGGAGGACCTGCCTCTGCCGACACAAGGTAAGCCCCGAGAGTGTCAGCAGCTCCTTGGAGATACAACATACTGGACCAGGAGTGCCAGCCCCAAGAAGAGCCCACATCTTTTGTAAATTGTAAGCTGCAAAGCAGCGTGAGGTTTTACTCTGAAAGTAATGCCTGGATGGCAGGCTGGAGTTGGAGAAATCCAGTCCAGCACCTGCCATGTTTGAGAAGGTTTACTCAGGAGCCATTTTGAGAAGGGGTTGCTTAAGACTGAGCTACAGTGCAGCTTCATTGAGTGTTCCTGGTGCCACCCTACTGCAGTGACTGGGTGGGAGATGAACACATGACAGTCATGGACAGACCACAGGCTACACATAGACTGTGAGAAATTTAAGCTCAGACTGGAAAGGGCATGGGTGCCTCAGCCTACATGGTGAGAAGCAAGGCCTGTCATGCCTGACTTGCAGAGGTGGCTGGGTCTGGAATTGCTGGCTCAGTCTGGTGGTCTGCATGAGCCTTCATGGGCAGCTGCCTACGGCCAGCACAGAAATAAGGGGACTGGCTACTTTCCCATCTAGCAGCATGAGGGAGGGTACACCTTGGCTTGTAAGGTTACCACAGTCTGAGGCATAGTGGGCCTCTGGAGTGAGGCTGGTGCTCATAAAGCCATAGGCCAGAGAGCTAGGCAGAGAAAGTCATGACTATTCCCACAGGAACAGGAACACGGATCTGCCAGCGTGGCTAAACCCTGGGACTGAAACCATGGATGACCAATCCCAGTGGGAATGGTTGGGCAGAGTTTAGCATTGGTGCAGAGAAATGTCAGTGTGGAAACAAAATAGGCCTCAGAAGTGACAAACTGTCCTTCCCTTCTGTCTGGTTGGCTCAGTCCTGCAGGCCCAGGAAAGAAACTGCTCCGACAAAAACATGGGGGAAGCTGGGTGTGGTGGGTGTGGTGGCTTATAAACCCAGCAGTCAGGAGGCGGGGCAGAAGGGTCATGGTGAGTTGGAGGGCAGCCTGTGCTGCATTGTGAGGTTAAGGCCAGCCAGAACTACATAGTGAACCCTATCTCAAAAGAAAACAAAACAAAAAAGGAAAAAAAGAAAAGAAATGACAACAAAAACACATGGAGGAATATTTTTAGTCTCTTTTTCGTTGGTTTTAGGGGATGTTGGTTTCCCTCTTTCGTTAATTTTTGTGTTTTTTCTTTTTCCTTTATTGTGCTGTTTTTTGTTCCATTCTGTTGCTTTTATATAATTCTGTTAACTTTCTTTCCTCCTTAATAGGATCCTTTATCTTACATTGTTCCTTCTCATGTTATTTTTCTTTATTTTTCAACTTTTGCTACATTCATTCTCCTATTCCCCACCCCTTCATCTTTACTATCATCACTATGAGGTTTTTTAAATTTTTAGATACTTAGTTAACCCTATGCTACTATTGCTGAATTATATTCTGTTGTTTATGGTTGTTAGGTATTGCATTTAGGAGCTATTTACTGTATGTCAGTGCTTGCTAAATTATTATTATTATTATTGTTGTTATTTTGTCTTTTTGAGATAAGGTCTCACTGTGCAGGTCAGGCTGGCCTTGAGCTCACTTTGTAGCCCAGGCTGGTCTTGAACTTGCAACGATCCTCCTGCCTCAGCCTCCCAAGTGCTGGGATTACAGGCCTGTGCTGCCACACCCTGCCTAAATTATTTCTTATTGTCGAAATACTACCAAAAAAATAGAGATAATGGAAACTCACCATTTATGATTGACAATTCCTTTCCTTTTATAAAATACTAACTTTATTGAAATATAAATTCTAAAACACACAATTCAGTGATTTAAAGTATGCAGTTTCATAGTTTTTACTACCTTCACACATTGGACAACTGTGACCAAAATCAACTTGAGAACTTCATCATCCCCTAAAGAAAGTCTGCACCCATTCCTCATCACCGGAAACTCTCCTCCCTCAACACCAGAAAGTCATGACACTGTGTCCCATGGATTTCCCTCCTGGGATATTGCAAGCCACTATAATCTTTCACTGTGTGGTATTCTGCATTTGGCCTCTTTTACTTGTCATAACATTTTTAAGGTTCATCCATGCTGTAGTATCCACTAATCCTTTCATCCTTCTTATCACACATACTATCTAATTCGTGGCTAGATCACGGTCTTTTTTTTTTTTTTTTTTTTTTGGTTTTTCTCCGGTACCGGGAACCGAACTCACGACCTTGCGCTTGCCAGGCAGGCGCTTTTGCCACTGAGCTAAATCCCCAGCCCCCTAGATCACGGTCATTTATCTGTGTATCACTTGATGGATACTAAATTCTCCAAGTCAGAATAGAAACCAAGATTTTAGAGCCAGGATCGGGCTGCTGTCTGGAGGCCTGGCTCAGATGGGGCTGTGCTGCGGCCCCGGGGAGAGTGCTGGTCCCAGGAGACTCCCACAGCCGCTTTGAGCCCAGGGCCCGGGTCTCAAACTGGGTGCGGTATTTCTCTCAGGTGTCAGCAGGATGAGGTAGCACTTGGGGAGGAAGATGCCACCCAGCAGTCCTGCAGTGGAGGCCAGGATGGAGAAGACCTCCACAGCTGCCGTGGCCTTGCCCCGTGCACTGTGGTACAGGGGCAGGAAGGCTGTCCAGACGCTGCAGAACAGCAGCATGCTGAAGGTGAGGAACCTGGTCTCATTGAAGGCATCGGGCAGGCCCCGCACCAGGAAGGCCGCAGAGAAGGTTCCTGTGGCCAGGAGGCCCAGGTAGCCCAGCACGCAGGAGAAGGCGACACCAGAGCCCTCCTGACACTGGAGCACAAGGCGGCCAGGCTCCGACGCTGCGTCCCTGTGGGGAAAGGGCGGGGAGGTGGCCAGCCACACCCCACAGAGAATGACCTGTGTCAGGGAGGAGACCAGGACCACAGAGGCGGCGGCACCGGGTCCTAGGCACACGCGGACCCTCTGTCCTGGCCTCGTGACCCTGAAGGCCATTACCACAGTGAGGGTCTTGGCAAGGACACAGGACACGGCCACAGTGAACACCACGGCAAAGGTGGTCTGGCGCAGGAGGCAGGTGGCGGGCGAGGGGCGGCCAAGGAACAGTAAGGGACTCAGGGCGCAGAGGGTCAGGGAGGCCAGGAGCACGTAGCTGAGGGCTCTGTTGTTGGCCCTGACCACGGGTGTGTGCCGGAACCTCAGGAACACCCCGAGGATCAGGCATGCCAGGCTGGCCAGTGTCAGTGCCATCAAGGTCATCGCAAGGCCCAGGGGCTCGTCAAAGGCCAGGAAGGTCTCTGTCCTGGGAAGGCAGCGGTCTCTGGCCTGGCTTGGGTACTGCTCTGCAGGGCACTGAAGACAGCTCTTCATGTCTGTGGAGACACACAGAACCCGTGTTAGGTATGCCCCTTGCACAAGAGCAGCTCTGGAAGGGTCCCTTTGCACCAGGCCCTCGAGGAGCAGCTCTGGTTGTTCCATATCTACGGGTTATTCTTAGTCACCCCTAAAGTGAAGATGGCATTAAGAGTCAGAGGCAGTAGGAAAAATGCAGGCCCTACATATTTATATGGTTGTAAATATTTTGTTTTTATACAAGAAATTGGACCCAAGGCCTTTGTGCTTTGCTATATTCTCAGCCCATTTGTTAGATTTTATTTTGGCACAGGGTCTCCCTAAGTCACTATGTTGACTAGGCTGGGCTGCTGATTGTGGTCCTTGCTTTATTAGAAGTGTTTTGGTCTGCATAATGTCTTTCAAAACTCATTTATTGAAGTCATGACCTCTAGAACATAAGAAAGTGTTTGTAATTGTGGATAAGAAAATTGTAATGAAGTAATTAAATGAAGATTCAATGAGGTTACTGGGTTGAGCCTAATCCAACATGCCTGGAATCCTTAGAAGAAAGGACTGGGAACCCGGGAAGACACGAGGGGCATTTTCTACCCCAAACTGCTATTCAGTACACTTGAACATGGCCACGTACAAGTTCAAGAGAGAGGATTCAAGAATCCCATCTCACTGACATCAAGATCCCAGACTTCTACCTCCAGCGCTGGGAGGAAATGTATTTCTGGGGCATAAGGGGCCAGGGATTGTGGAATTTATTACCATAAACCCACGGGAGTGGATGTCACACAAACAGCAGAGATTGTGAGATGCACAGGTGTCTCACTGAGCCTTCCATGGATAGAAAGCCTGAGGGTCAGAATGTGGTGGCCAGGGCAGGGTCACCCTGCTGTAGGCTAGGCAGAGGTGAGAGTGCGCATGAGGGGAGGGTTCCTTGGGGCACCATCTACACCATGGCTGTCCGTGGGCTGCAGATCAGGACATATTTTCCAGAGTATAACTGTGAGAGTGGAATTTTAGCTAGGGTGCACCAAAAGTTCCCAGAGAATGGAGGCCCTACGGCACCCCATGTGAGTAGGGGTCTGAGGGCAACTTGCCATTGATGCCCCACAATGCAGCTGCCCACTCACCTCTCTGGTCTGCAAACTGTCCCTCCGGGCAGGGCCGGCACTCAAAGCAGCAGTGGGGAGCTCCCTGTTGGGGGATCTGGCTGGATCCTGGTTCACAGCTTGTGCTGCAGACAGAGCTGGGCACCTGGGGACAATGTGAAGGCATCAGTAGAGAGCTTCTTTGGGGCCTAGGGGTGGCCTGATTCCACAGAGCAGATAGGTGTCTTCCGTGTTGGAACAGGCAGTGTGCAGGGAAAGGTCCTGTCTGCTGTCAGGAGCCAGACAGAGGAACCACACAGAAAGGCACTGAGCACCTGTTCTAGGGGGTCCACCTGACTCCTGGCGTGAAGGTGACATTCACCATAACCTGTGCACATCGCTCTTGGGTCCCACATCAGGAACTGTTGGTGCTGGGTCCAAACCATCTCGCTCTTTGTCTCTCTGTCACACACTCACACACACACACACACACGAACATGTACACCTTGGCACAGTGTGATTTGCACAACCATAGCTTCAGATAGAAGAGTTAGTGCTGTGTTCTTCAGAAAAGAACAGTAGCCTCAGCCCATACTCGTGGAAAGGCCCACAGGATCCTCTGAACATGCAGCTGTGTGCCCGGAGGAAGGATTCAGGGATGGAGCTCTGATCTGCAAATGGTAACCCAAGTTCACCATGCTGAAGATGCTGGAGGGACAGAGCCAGACCAGGTTGCAGAGGAGGGAACTAGAGTGGTCCTGGATCAAAACAGTCTGGGACACCAACACCAGCAGTAAGACCATGTGTCAGTGAGTCATAGGAGAAGCCTGCTCTGCCTTCTCAGTGCTGCCTGGGATGGGTGTGGAGGAAGAGTTGTGACCTCCAAGGTGCCCATGAGCCTGACCCTGAGACAGATGTGGAGAAAATGAACTACACCTGATGCTGACCTAGTTGACCTAAGTAGTGTGCCTCTCATCTTTTCTTTTTTTTTCTTTTCCTTTCTTTTTTCTTTCTTCTCTCTCTACTAGAGAGAGCGAGATAAGAACCTTACCCCCCAGGTGACATCACCAGCCATACTTTTTCATTTTTTATTTTGAGACAAGGTTTCACTAAATTGCCCAGGTTGGCCTTCAACTTGCAAGTCTCCTGCCTTAGCCTCCTGAGAAGCTGGAATGAAAGGTATGCGCCACTGTACCCAGGTCAGTGATTTTAGGCTTGATGGGGAGTAAATGCCTTTCCACCCCCATGGAAGAGTCCACTATGTACAAGCACCATGGCTGAGCTACAGCAGGCTTGATTTATAGCCAGATCCGCTTCATGCCTCACAGAGCGACAAGAGCCTTGAACCTGAGTTTCCCCAACTCAGAGGCCTAGGCTTGGGTGTGGGGAGCAGATGAACCGTGGCTGAGCCTGAGGTCGGCAAACTCCTTGAGACTAGAGCAAAGCCAGTCCCAAGGATGTGGAATGCCAGAGGCAGACTGTGTAAACAAGCTGACCTCTAGCTCAGCTGCACATCAGCAGGTGTCTCGCTTTGGTGTTCTTCCTTGTTAACTACAGTACAGACAGCTCTGAGAATGTTTTCACTTTCAGTGTTTTCAGCAAAATACTGAGACCTTGCACTTTTGACTCCATCATATATTTCCCTCCTTCTCCCTTGTATAAATGAGGACTCTGGGTTTGAGACATTGTCACTACCTCCCCATCAGAGGCTCAGGTCCCACCTGGTCTCAGCTTTCCTTTTAGTATGCATGTATAGTTTTTTCTTAATTTCCTATCACCCCCTCTCAGGACCTCACTCCCCTCGCAGGTTGCAGCACTGGGATCGTTTGTGCAGCCGAGGGACCCACCTGAACATTGTCCTTCAAGTGGATCATCATTCTGTCCCCTGAAGAGTGATGAGAGTCCATTGTGCCAATGTGGACAAAGTGGAACTGGCCCTCCGGGCTCTGCTGCCCTTGGAGAACGTCAAATTTTGCCACCAAATCTCCATTGGCATCGAACGCCATGTGGGTCCCATCAGGGGTCTGGAAGCGCACCTTCCTGAGGGCGTGAAGGAGCTGGGGAAGGAGGCTGACATGTAGCCTGGCCAGGGCCCCGGCTGGGGATGGCAGGTGGAGCTCCAGGCAGCACCAACTGGTGCCGGGGGCCAGGAAAACGTTGCACTTGCACTTGTAAAATCAGAAGGGCAGTTTAAAAATGAGCCATATTCAGTAATGAATCAGATCATTCTTACTGCTATAAGGCGGTCATCAATTAAATTTTCATTACCTGTTTCATGGCGGCAGGAACCCAGGACACTATGTCTGCTGTGTCCCATCCTGAGCTTCACGTCCTATTCTGAGTTCAATGCATTCTCCATGCAGGTATCCATGGAAGGCCCTCTGCAGCCAAACCCCTGCTCCCAGCCCAGCTGCAGTCCTGCCTGGGCTCTTGTCCTTTGCAGGGCCTTGGCCCAGGGTGCCCCTGGAGCCACCACTCTCCTCCCGTGAAAGCAGCTTCCTGTGCAGGCTGGATCTCAGATTCCTTCTCCCTGAGAGCTAGCCTGTTCTCTCCACTCATTCTCCACCCCGCCATCCACCTCACCACATGCACATATCTCATCCTGGTGCATTTCTAATTTCTCTGCCCTGCCCCACAGCCAAACACCCTCACTGTCCTGTCCATCCACTCAAAGCCATATGTGTTCTCAGTCCCCAGCCAATAGAGGTCTCTTAATTAGAATGAAGGTTATAATAGCACCCCTTCCTTCCTGTCTCCACATGGCTTCCCTGATCTGCAGCATATCCCAGGAGAAGGCTTCCAACTCCAGGCAGAAGATGTGCACCTGTTGTGTGAGTAGGTGGAGAAGATGCCCTTTACAGCCTCCCTGTCCTCCCGTGCATCAGATGGCACTGTGTCAGAGACAGTAGACATCATACATTGGGGAAGAAGGTTAAAAATCCAAGCTTTACAGACACTTGTACTGCCTTCCTCAGGCCAGCGACATGCTTTCTACTGTCAGGTTGGCCCCCAACCTCTGGATTCTGTAGAAGAAGACCTCATGTGTGACCCTTCCTCTGAGGACAGTTATGAAAGTCCAATGAAGTATCACCCTGGGCCCACTGGCTGGGAGAAGCCACAGGGAAAGCCCTGAATGGGCTGCAGCATGAGGAGATAAGGGATAAGGACATGGATATCTGTGGTGCAAAGGCCTCCAGGTTGCAATACCTTCTTGAAGAAAGCAGGTTTAGCAGGGGGTCTTTATCCCTAACTCTACGGCCAAAGTGCCAGCCTGCTGCCCAAGGTCATCATCCTGGACCAGAATGCCCACCCAGGACCATCCGAAGTGC